CCCCCCCCCCAGGACCCCCCTAGCTACGCCCATGGAAATATTACACAAATTACTACCTACCTATTACTTCTTTTTCCTCTGTCAGTTGGTCTTATCCTTAAGGAGCCTACTACCTACGATTAATATTGAGTGAGTAAATATTTTGCCCATCAAACCTCAGAAGCAAGTTATTCGCGTGCGACAAGTCTTATGAAAACGTCCTGTGAAGGAGAAGCCTTGCCCAGCAAGGCTCCTTCAAAAATATAAGTATCCTCCTTTTTGGAATGATTTTCCACTATTACCTAAGCTCTGAGGGTGGCATTAGAAGGTGTACGTAGTGTCTGAAAAGTGACCTAGGAAACTTAAAGATTTTTGAGTTCAAATAATTAAGGCTTTCTCTAGCAAACATGAAACTTATATATAATGGATAGCACTTAGCAGCGGGGAGCCAATGAGATTACAGTGTTGTAGAAATTGTGCATCTTCATTTTCATCTTTAATAACATGACTAGGACAGCAAACAGCTCTCATTTTTCTACCAAAAATTAATAGGTACCCAACTTAAATTGAAGAATATCCTGTGAAATTTCATACTGCAGATACCTACATTCGGTATTTCTTAAGGCAAAGAAGAATTTAAATGGTCTTGAAAACACTGTAATTGCATTAGTTCCCTTCTGCTAAATGGGACACTAAAAGAAAAAGGAAGAAAAAAACTTAGGCTGCAGCATAGAACAGTGTATAGTTAAGTTGGGCATTTGATTTTTCAGACACAATTAATTTAGAGTCGACCCGTCATGGAAAGTGGTGACCATGAGTACTTTTTAACGGAAAATAAAAGTAGGTCAAAAATTACATTTGTTCAATTTAGGGGGGGGGGGGGTGCAGAGATCACCAACTCATATTAGGCTGGAGTTTGAATTTTTTCAGGAAAAAATACTGTTCAGCCATAGGTTTCAAAATGAGCACACAAAAGATACCAAAATTAGATATCTGCCAAAATTTTTTTAATTTAAATTTCTTCAGAATATACAAAATATACATTTGAATTAGGGGTAAAGAATAAGCTACATCTGTGGGAATAAGAAGATTAGCTAAGTAGGACTATAACAGGTAGTCTTTTACACAATGGGACACTAGGTACAAACATGTTATCTTAAAATTAAATGAAATATATGAGGCCACATCTGTATGAACAGCAGATATCAAACATCCGCCAATTTTAGCGAAAATGCCTTTTGGAACCCACTAACCTTCAAGAATATCGGTACCAAGGTTCAGACTTCTGGCATACTTTTTCATTAAGATGTGAATAAAAAACTGTGTTATATCTAAAAGCAGCGGTTGTTAGAATTCGTTGAAATAATAAATTTTGAGCTAAATAATTCCCTAAAGCTTATTAATCTTCTTCAGGGTCGAGTGTATGAGCACATTACAATAGTAATAAAAGTTAGTATTGCCTATTGTACTTACGTGCTTGGAAGATGCTCCTTTTTTAGAGGAGGATTCATTCTGTAATAAATTCTTTGGCGGAGCTCTATTTGCTGCACATCAAAGTAGACAGCTTTGAAAACTGTCTCAAAATTAAGAACCCAACATTTGCTGTTCCTAAATCTTAGGCTTCAAGTACAAATTATACATAGTAAAGGTACAAAAATACAGTAAGTTTTACAGTAAGTTTATAGTAAGGACTCTGGACATTAGCGGTTTTCGCATGATACGTAAAAATCGTCGAGTTTTGGAGCCATTTGATTTTATCAAAATTCATTCTGAAGATGTTAAAGTGGTAGATTATCATTCATATAAAGTTAAAAAAATAAAATTCCGGACGATTGCGATACTTAAAATAAGTTTCATCACAAAACTCCCAGTAATAAACTGGACATTAGCGGTTTTCGCACGAGCCGATTCAATTGTAAGACTTATTTCAAAATCAAACTTCATTCGATCAACAAGAGTTGCGGACCAGCTGTCTTAAACTGTAAATGCTGATTCAAGACTGTTTTAGGGACCAAAAAGAAAGACACACACATTTTATCTTAAAAAAAACAAAGAAACAAAGGATGCTATGTACTAGACGTGTCGTCAGCTAAGTTGACGGTTGTTTACTTTCGGTTTGCCAACGACGCCAACGACGATTTTGGGCCTCTGAACAAAGCGGCGTTCACTGCTATCCGCACTGAAAACATCCGTCTCATGATCGTATCGTAAAGAAACTACTTATTAGTTATAATTTGCGACTTTTATGTGGTTGTGATTTCTGTGCATGATCTTAATGGCATGGCTATAAATGAAATAAAAATCAAATTTATCCTAGTCACTAATAAAATTGACGCAACAAGTGACATGTTTATTGGTGGAACAAGGATCGAGGAGTCAGAAGTACTTAAATGTCTGGGTGTTTGGATAGATAATGACCTGCGTTTCAGTGTACACGTTGAAAACTGCATAAGCAAAATTAGTAAAGGGATCTTTGTGCTAAGATACTTTAAAAAATTTTGCCAACACAGCTAACTTATGCAAATTTATCATTCATTTATAGAAGGAAATATGAATTATTGTTTATCTACATGGTCATTTTGCTCAGATAAACTAGTTGATAGAATTTTTAAATTGCAAAAGATAGCGATGAGAATTATTTTCGGTATGAAGAATGAAGATTCATGCCATGAGTTGTTTAGGAAACATAAATTACTAACATTTCCAGCAATGGTAATTTTAAAGAGAGCAACATACATACGAGAAAACTTCAAACAAATTACAAAATTATCAGATCAGCACAATTTTAACACAAGAAATAAAAATAAGTTCATAACACCAAGAGAAAACGAGTATGTAAAGCAATGTTTACTGTGTTACAATGCACTTCCTTGAAAGGATTTAAAAATTGATGATAACACAGAAATGCAAAAATTCTCAAAATTGATCACTGAATTCCTAGTGGAGAAAGAATTCTACGCAGTTAGAGAACTGGTGTAGAAGTTTATTCAATCTAATTCACTCGAAGAATTGTCTAATTTAACTATTATGCATTTTTCTAATTTTGAATGTTAGTATTAAGTTTAATCTAAGTTGACCCGTTTGTTTATCTTCTTGCGCATTTTTAACAAATAAAGTGATTTCTATTCTATTCTGTGTGGCTAAAAATTAAAGTATTACAAGGTTTGAAAGAATTAAAAAACTTATCTAAGCTTGTGTTCTTGCTTCTGAGAGAGTCAGATATTTTCATGAGGATAGTAGTGATGCGAAAACGCCTGCAAACCGAAAGTAAGCAACCGTCAACTTAGCTGACAACACCTCTAATAAACATGATTTGAGTTGATCTCCTATAAAAACTTCATCAGATTGCAGAGATACTGAGGTGAGCTCTTAGATTCAAAAAATGTTGGACGCCATTTCTTCCATCTTCAACCAAAGGGTTGGGTATTAGTGCAATAGATTCTTGAATCCATACCCGAAGAGAATTGCGTGGAATAGATTGCAGGTAAGAACTCCGAGAAATATAGGTGATGGCTGAGTCTTCAGAGCGATTGATGTTCACACTGCTTGTAGTGTAGACATGCAATTGCTGTGATTGCATATCGTCCTCCCATGCCTGGTTTGGAGTGGAATCCATTGTCCGAACACGGTGGTTATTCCACGCTTCTGTAAGGAAATCAAGCTTTTCTTGGATTCTTGGAAGGTAGACATACTGAAGGCAGAAAACATCCAAGGCGTTGTTTATATCCAGGATGTCGCTTTCTTCCATAGTTATAAACAGATCTTTTAATGGACTAACTACTTTCTCACCGACATCACGCCACATACGTTCAATCCGTTGGTTGTGCGTGCTTGTGCCAAATATGTATCTGCCCTCTTCGCCATAGCAATCTGCAAGGAAATTAGCTACTTCCACATTTTCGCCCCCATGGTCTCCTCTAACTCTGTGGGGTAGACCGGAGCGAGACACTCCTTCCTTAAAGATTTTGAGCACAGTTGCTGCCAGGTTGTCGCAACAGCATTCCAAGTATATCAGTTTTCGGGAGTATCCATCTATGCACCCGTGTATTATAAAATTATACATTATGAGTTTGTGGTGACCATCCATGTGCCTGAAAACAGATAGAAAAAGAATGAGTTGCGATGTTTGCTCAACAGATAAAAAGAGTTCAACATGCTTACATTATTCCTTTCCTGCAATTGTTTTATAAGCTGTTGGAGCTATCAAAAATATGGACACCTAATATTTCGAGCGATATTGCCATTTAGGTATTCTCTGAGATTTTGATGAAGAAAAAATAATTATCTTCATCTGATACTAAAAGTGGACAAAAAGTGGACCTTTTCCACCTTTAAAATCAAGTAAGACTAATAGATCCGGTTATAAGAATTGAAATTCCAGATATGAAGAAAAGTTTTAGAGCCTCTGAGAAGAAAGTCGCACAATTTTCAAGAAATTCTATATTTCCTTACTTTTAGGTAAAGATGTTCAAACATGTGTTTCAGCTGGTCATCATCTTAGACGAGGGAATTTCACTAGTTGCAACTTTATTTGCTGAAGATGATTGGCAATAGCCTATTGAAACATATGTTTGACCATTCAAAACAATAGGTAGAGAAATAAGGAGTTTTTTTTCAAAAGTTGCCAGACTTTCTATTTAATTAAAACAATACCTATTACTTGTTAATAAAGTAATCCTTCATATGATCAGTTTTAGATGATCCCCCAGCATCAAGATTCAGAATTTTTTTGTTTTGATTAGAAACAAGGAACACCTTGTCTGAAATGAATTTGGAAAGTCATAAAAGTGAGCATCTAATTGTTTAATATGATCCTTTTTTCATGCGGAGGCTATTTCAGAAGGATCCTTAAGGAAAGTAATTACCTCTTTCTTCTAACAATAGGTTTCATATGAATAAAATTTTTGTGATACAGACGTTTCTTTGATTCTCAATTGTAGCTTTTTAAATTATCATTCTAGTTTTGAAGATACTTTTGTAAAGGTGCTAGGTTAGATAGGTACAAATATTATCTACGAGGGAGTAAATCCAATTAAAATATGTAAGGAGATGAAATTGTCAGGAAACTTTTCAGAGACATGGTATGTGACTCTAATCAAGAGTTGATTTCTGCTGAATTGGGTGTGACGCTGGGTTGAGATAAAAATCCCTAGCAGTGCCAACTTGCTGTTGCCATAAGAAGCAGTGAAGTGCCCGAAAATGTAACATTTAAACTTAAATTTGACGTGGATTCATCGAGACTTTTATGAGAAAATTTTCAGAGAATATGCCGAAGGTAATCTCAAATAATACTCGAAAGAGTATATAATGGACAGGTTTTTGCACGCTTTACCTGGAACTAAGAGGCTTAGCCAGCTTTTTAGGGATCAATCTGAGAAGAATTTGCTCCATAAGTGAATTTATAATTGATCAATTGCTTCTGAAAGAAAGAGATATAAGCGGGTATTAAGAGTGCCCATATTTGCTCTAAGTTATACTACTTACATGGATTCTTACCATAGGAAATTAGATCCTGGACTGTAGTATGTTCTTCGTGTTAACCTTCTCCTTCTTCGCAGTTCAACATTTATGGGGTCAACAACTTGCAGTGCAGCTCGAATTTTTTTCTCCGAGGCATTGATGCCCATGGCAAGGAGTAAGCCTTTGAGGGTTACAGAACCCCAAGTTGGATTCTCAGAGGACAGATGACGAACAATTGACTCCAACTCATCATCAGTGACACGCACATTAGGCTCCTGCAGTCCAAAGCGTTGCCGGTATCTGCCAATTTGCTTCCTGGTTAATCCAAACCTCTGCCCGATTTTTGACCATGGCATGCCTAGACGTCGAAGATCGATCATCCTGTCAGCATCTGCTGGATCCATTGCTTTGGCACCTGAAAGTTTGAAGTGAATAGATATTTGGAGGAGGGATCATTAAGAGCCACTGTCACTGGAACAGATATTGGCAACTAAGTTCACTGCTTTGTTTCAAAATAAAGGCATATCGACAGTGTAAGTCGGCAATCACATAACTCGTTTGCGGTGTCTGAAAATCTCCGCCTCTATGTTATTTTTTTTAGAGGAGAACAAATTGACATGACTCCTTAAAGTTTTTGCAGAATTTTCTTCGCATAGAGAAGAGAAATCACTGCAGTTTTAAGGAATAGCCGTTGAGTAGTTTTCCGTTTAAAAAATAAGGTATGATAGGAAGTCTGCGACGTCGCAAATCGAGTTATGTGATTGCCGACTTACACCGTCGATATACAGTAGTAGGGCAGTTGCAACGGTCAAATATGTTGATCATGAAATAGTCAAGTGGTCACCTTCCCGCCAAAGTATCACAAGCATCATTTATGCTTAGTAGTTATGTCCCCACACTTCTCAAACTTGTCAGATTTCTTACAGAAAAAGTTATGCACAAAATTACTTAGAATTTTGGCCAAGTATTACTCTTATCCTCAAAATTAATCTCTGAAATTCTTTTGAGATCAAGTCAGGCAAGTTTTCAGAAAATATTGCAAAAATTAAGATGTCCAATTTGTCCTTCAGATGTGTCTTTTCACCGTTTTTCATCCTCTAGTTTCTGAACAAAGACTACTTGGCACATAAGACTTCAACATGATTTGTTTCCCCATATCCTACATCAAGTTGTATCTAATGTCTAGGAACTTTTTGCCAAAAATTCAATTGGCAGTTGAATGAGATGACCGAACAACCCTGCGATGAGTAGGTTGCAGGTGGCTAAGTAGGTACACCGAGCACAGGTAATCAAGTCCTGACTTAAAAGACGAGTGATTTACCAGTGGAATGATTTGCCAGGATTCGCCCGAAGTTCTTGTTAGAAGAGAGAAAGTTTTGTTCTAATTCTCACCTGTCTCAGCAAATTCAATGACGTAAAAGGATCTCCTTGAAACTTGGAGCTGCAGGGGCAAGCCTGGAGGTCCGGGATTTACCAGTGATTTACCAGTAGAATGATTTGCCAGGAAACGACCGAAGTTCTTGCTAGAAGAGAGGAAGTTTTGTTTAAATTCTCACCTGTCTCAGCAAATTCAATGACCAAAGAGGATCTGCTTGAAACTTGGAGCTGCAGGGGCAAGCCTGGAGGTTCGGGACAAGCATTCGTATTTCCATTGCGAATCGTTGAGACATAATTCTAAGGTTGAGAGAAAAAGAAAAGCTATTCCATGAGAAAATAGGTGGTAAAATGTCCTACACTTCACTAAGCGAACAGCGATGATAAAATGTAAACAACGATCTTGCATTACAAGGTTGGCAATACATTACATAACAGGCCAATTTTTCATTTTACAGTTGGTAACACACCCTATAATATACACAGGCTGCCTTTCATAACAAACATTTCTCCCTCTATTTAATGTAGAAACAGGGGCGGAAGCCGTTCCATACTTATCTGCACTGGATGAATATTGGTTACCGAGTTGTTTGATGTATCGTTCTTAGTGATATGTACTATGAATGGGGCACAGCAATCTTTGTTGTAGAAGAGGTTTTCTTGATGCGCTGGGCTTGAACTCGAATTTGAGGGTTGGGTTGGTGGGATTATTCCCGGATTAGGAGTGGTCTACAGTGGTCTATCGCATCAGCTGCTCGTAAATCACTCAAACTACCGATGCGGCCCAAAACACTGGTGGCCCACTTATCATTCCTTTTTCGACAACAAGCTTTTATGAAACAATCAAAACCCGACGGTGGCGTCATAACTTGATGTGTTGACATCTGCAGGTCGCCTAACTTTCCAGGTTCTCCACAGAAAAATCAATAATTTTTAAAATCGAAAGTGCATAATGACCGAGTTTTTGGTGGAGAGTAATTCGCTTTTTCTGCTCCTTTTAAAAGTTTTCCTTTCCGTGCAACTGTGATGCGGGGGTCCTATGCGGAGCGTAGGGTGGCCCGGCACCTCGATAAATGAAGTCAACACAAGATGTATCGTGCAAATAACGTCACTCCAGCGCGTTCGACCAGGGAGTCGAGCTCGAGTAATCTATGCTGAACTTGTCCCCTGAGCCTCCACTCCTACCTTATACAGGGTTATTCAAAAGTTACGCACCACTGGCCATAACTTTAGTTCTAATTATGATATCGATTTGCGGTTTGTGGCGTCCTTCCTCATATCGAGGGGGAAACTTTTTGAGGTACTTTTCAGTTCTTCACTCCCCCAGGGGGAGGGGGGGCGGGGGGCAACTCAAAAATTTCAAATGGCAACCCCCATCATGTGATACATCGTTAGAAAGAGCATGNTATCATAATAAGAACTAAAGTTATGGCCAGTGGTGCGTAACTTTTGAATAACCCTGTATATCCATCGATCGAGCTTGGGGCGCTTCGGCCTAATGAGCCGATCAGCAAGCTTGCGCCCCAACTCAAGGTCGGTGGGTATTTTTGGTGGATGCATTCTGCTACGTGATGGCCTCAGGGGGCAAGTCGGCTGTGGTGTGCACCACAATCCTGGGGCCCCTTGAAGCTCGGCGCCCTCGCCGAAGTTAGCCGTTGTAACCGTCTTTTTATTTAAAAAGTGTTTTAAGTATTATTTTTACAATTGGAACTTAAGTACTACTTTTACATGGATAAGAACAAAGCTTATAATATTCAATTAATTTATAAAAACAAAACATATAATGTTCAATGAATGAACATAGACCATATAGTATAGAATGAACATTTATAGATAAAAACAAGCCAAATAATATGTAATAAAGGAATACTCGTAGATAAAAGCATATGAAATTAAATGAATGAATACATAAATATTCAATGAATACTTGTAGAAAAATAAAATATAAATATTCAATGAATGAATACTTGTAGAAAAATAAAACGTAAATATTAAATGAATGAATACTTGTAAAAGAAAAATATAACATAAATATTCAACAAATGAATGTTTGTAGGGAAATATAACACAATTGAATACTCGTAGGAAAATATAACATGAATATTCAATGAAGATATGAAATTTCCTCTGAGAAAACTGTAATTATTTCAAAGGTCTGGACTTTGTTAATGACGACTGTGACAAGTGTCTAAAAGCAGAAATTTTCAATGACACGGTGAATCCATTCCCAACAAGTTAAAAATTTACGCCCCCATGTCTCTTTGTTTTCCGCATTTCATGGGGATCCAAATTTAAAAACCAAATATTAATTATTATCCATTTAACCCTTACTTCCTAACTAAGTAATGTGATGTATTTCTTATGTTTCCGCTTTTTCAATTAAGCGTCTTCTGAGGTATCCATATAAATCTCATTGTTTATGTCCCTAATTCTATCCTCTGGCAAGTTACGTCTGATAATGTGGACTTGAGCAAGTAGTGCAATTATGGCTATGACGAGGATCAAGATTGTAACATATACTATATAGTGGTGGTTGGATGTTTCGGGTTTGTATTTCTGAGTATCAAAGAATGTCTGCATGTTGTATTTCAATGCCTGCAGCTTTACTCCGTCGGGAATGGCTTTCTGGAGTTCCTCGGAGTTCTTTACTAAATCTTGGAATTTTTTAGCAAATGTGGGGTCCTTGGTTAAATTGTGTAGTAGGATGCTATCCTTCTGTGAAATTAAATTTTTAATTGTGGGAGTGAAAAATGAAGTCGTCTCACCATTTTCTATCGAGTTGAATATTTCTGAGGCGTCTATCCTGAACGTGTCAGCCGATAGAGAACATTTGGGCGGAATGTTTGTATAATTATTTCCTACTAGCTCAACTTGCTTGCCTACCTTCTCACCGTCTTCTGGGCATTGCAATATTGCTGTGACGGGGTTTGCAACGCTGTATATCCATATATTGTTTAATTGGGGTTTATAAAAAAGGGGGGCTCTATTTCTAGTTGTTACAATTCTATCACAGTAGTTTATGATGTCGCTGGACATATTTCTGATTAGTGAAAAGATGCATGTTTTTGGCTTAAAACTCCTAATTGGAATGTTCGCTGGGCAAATCATAATTGCTTTATTGTGACATTTGTTTATTTCTTCCTCGTCTAATGGGAGGTATGTTTCTTTGTTCTTACTTATTGCAATATATGGGTGAGGGGGGTCAATATATATGCTTACCGAGACATTTTTAACGTTATGGGGTAAGGGCGCTAATTTATACAAATCGAATATTCTGTTTTCCGATTTCAACGGAATGTTTAGAAAGATGCGAATTTTATTATCTATCAATATTGCGTGGCAAGATATTAAATTATAGAACTTAGAGATTTGAGTGGATCTAATAGGGAAGATTAAGCTGTATTGGGGTGGTAAGTGGGCCTGGATTTTTGAGAGGACCGACAGTAATTTCCTCTTCGGCATAAGGAATTCCGTTAACGTGCCGTGTGCGGCGCTTTGCAATGCGATTTTTAGCTTAAAAATGTTGTCTTTTATTTGTAGTATACTAAATTGGATTTCTTTCAAAAAGAAGGAGACATCGAAATATTTAGACACCATTATAAATTTAAAGTTAGTTTCATTGATATATGTGTTTGCAATTTTCTCGAATTTCTCATCTATGTGTTCTGTTGCTTTCGCTATATCTTGTATAATGTTTTTACTTTTTTCCTCAAAATTATGTATATCTCCTAGAATTGAAATTTGTCGCTCAATATCATGATGGTTTTCGGATGTTACAGCTTTTAGGCTTAATAGTTTATTATTTAATTTACTTGTTTCCTCGTCCGTACTTAATCCAAATAAGTAATGAAAAGAGCTTCCTATAAATCCAAACGGCGCAAAATTCCTTTTTTCTCTGATGAGAGATTCTGTCGATAGTTCGTTAATCTCGTCCCTTAGGTTCTGTAGTTGGAGGATGAAGCTTTCCATCTCTAGCTGGACGTGTTCTGCCAATTTGTCTGGATTCGTTGTTGCCCATGATTCCTGCATCGTGGTGTTGATCATTTTCGATGTTTTTTCGACTGCATCTTTGTATGGTTGGAGAGGGATTTCCATGATGACATTCCAGATGTCGTTGCTCAGTAGGAAAGTCTTCTGCCGTAAGAAGACTATGCCAGACGTAAGGTCATTTACTATGCCTCCCGCTGCTGCAATCAGGAGGAGGATTCTGGAACATAAATATGTTTCCCATTTCAATCGTTGACCTTATTGATTTTTTGTGTTTCCCTGAGCCGAGAGCTTTACATGTCATCTCACTATTCATCTTTGTGAAGTGCTCGACTAGGGGAATCACATTATTAATTGGGTTATCACATGTTTGGTATTTTTGCCCTGAGGTTCACTTGAGAAAGTGTTGCATTTGCTAATTACGCTTGCATTCTATGGCATGACAAAGTCTACTCGTGCGTTTACACTTTCTTTTCCTATTCGGTGTTGCCATATCTACATCATGGAACTTAGTTCCTGGGTTGATTTTTAGATTGTTTTACTTTTCTCCGCCAGAGACTGTTTTCATCGTCCCACTTCCTGGAATGTCTTGTTCTTTTAATTTCTTGGATTTCCTGGGAGTGTGACGGCGATCGCTGTCTTTGTCGGTCAAGAGTAAAATATCATTTTATCCTGAAAGTATTTACCTGTCATTGGGCGTATCTTAATTATTATGCTAAAAGTTTCGTTCATTTCTAGTCCTCTGAGATTCATTTGATACATTGTTTCAGACGTGTATATCGGAGGTATCTCAGGGACTGAAGGCTTATTTAATATTGAGGCCTTATCCCTTATATTTTCTTAATCATCTAAAATAAGTACATGCCTTAAGACTACCGTATTCCATGAGATTGAAGGCGCCCTTTGGAGGTCAATCAGAATTTTATAACGTGATTTTATAATTTATGTACATTGTAAGAAGAACGATCGTTATATCTTTTTAGATTATTTCCGTGGTCCGGAGACTTTAACGCTGGATCATGAGTATCATCGGTACTTGATCCATAACATAGCTAATTCGTAACTTAAAATTAAACGCATGTTTCTGGCGCGAATTTTTCTTTGTAATCCCTGTTGAATGGCTAAGCTTAAATAATTTAAAGAATGCATAAATATCATTGATCATAGTTTTCTTTCTTATATTAACGCCTAAACATTTTCATGTAGTCCGGAGTTTTCACTCCTGCAACTATTGAAGTATCCCCTGGGTTCCAGGCTCTCAGATGAGGGGCTGGAGATGCTCCTTCCTTTTTTAGTCGACGAAAACATATTTACTTTCCCTCGTATTATGGTATTCTTTGCATTGAAGGCGCTATAAAAATTGATTATCTTATTAATTTTTCCCTCCTATCTTTGATTGGAGGTGTGTTCTTAAAATATCCTACTTACTTCTAAGATATGTGAGCAGT